TGGTACATCACCTGAAGCCTTCCTCCTCACCTGCTATATGGTGTGACTCCAGATAGCTCAGTGCTTCTTCGTAGACGTCCATAGCAGTGAGGAACCCTCTGCTTGCAGCTCAAGCAGGAGACTGGAGATGCAGTACTCAGATGACGAGAGAAAAGCTTCCTCTTTCAGTTTAGGATGAAAATACAGTAAGAGAAAAACACAGTTGCTTCCTGTCTGTGTGGAAAGTCGGTAAAAGTTGATGAGGAGGGACACCTGTAGATTGATCCATTCCTCACTGCTGCTCTGCACTTCCTGTAAATGACTTCTCTTCAGGCCCCCTGGCCGCAGAAAGGCTGCTGCTCAAATTATCTCTACATTGGTTAAACAATCAGGTGGCTGTTGCTTTTCAGGTCTCAATCAAGCAACGGTTCAGTCCGCAATATGTGATCATAGCTCTGTGTGTGAAAGGAAAAACTTAAATAAATTGCAGGGAGACACTTGTTTACAGCATGCAAGAAAGTGAAGAATGTATTCTACGTGATAAATTGAGTTTAGTTTGTCATAATGCTTGTTTTAGTGATGTAAAGGCAGCAGGGCTTAGAGTTTCCTTCTGCATCAGTGTTTGCATGTCTGAGTTCCTTTTTCTAGATCAGCAATGCCCTCTACAGTAACAGAGCTGAACTTACAACAGAAGATCTACATTTCAGTGCTGCTCTTCCTTTTAAAGGAAAATAAGCAATGAAGTGCAAATGTGGGACCAAGTCCTAATTTTCTAGGTGACGAGAAAGTCTCAAGAAGAAATAGGGTTTACTTAGGTAAAAAAGAAGAAAGTTCAAAAATGAGCACAAAGCTCCAGTAAATACAGCTAGAAATTAGGCTTGAAATCTTTTTAGGCAGAGTATGTGAGAGATTGATTCAGACATGTCTGCATAAAAGCTGATCAGACAGCTGCAGCTGATCCAATATGCTGCTACCTGCGTCCTCACAAAACTAAGCATATAAGTCTTATCCATTTTCTTTTGCACAGAAAGTAAATGCCCATTGGCTTTGGTTTGTCTGCTTGTTTGCCTGTCTATTTTCAAAGTAAATGAAAACCTTTTATTTTTACCAAAGGTGTGCCTTGTGCCAAGGAACAGTTTCTTTGGTAATGATCCAGATCCTGTGTGAGTTGTAGCTACAGGTTTTAGTCACAATATGGGGCAAAATGTTCTGCTTGGCGTAAGTCTGCACTCTCCGAGGGCTTTTTGTAGTCTTAAGGAATATAATGATTTCATACTCCAGCCACATATGGGGTGACTTACCTGCAAACTATGAGCCTAAAGAGGGATTGTTAAAATATAAGAACAAATACACACAAAAAGCTAAGATAAAGTTTATAGCCATGGAGTTACAGCTAGAAATATCAGTTACTGTGATTAATGAATAGTGATGAAAAATAATATCGATAATGATCATGTAAATTTCTCAGTATGTATTTCAAAATGTTACAGAAAAAATAAAAAAAATAAAATAAAATAAAAATAGTTGAAGTGTCATGATTCTGGCAAAGTAGATCATTTACTTTCAGCTGTTATCCTGGCATCCTGGCATCTACGCCCCTTTTCATCAGTGCTCATGCTTACCACCTGCTCCCCTGCCTATTTAAACAGACATCAAACAGTGCTGTTTCCAGATCAATTTGAAAGCTTTGAGTGAAAGCTAGCAGTCCTTCCATGCTGGATTCTGACCTTGCTCTTGAGTCAGATTTCAAGCCTTAGACGTGCCCTCGCCGGACTCCTCTGAGCTTTTGGATTTCTGGACATCAACCTGGTTTTTGCCCTCTATTAATTATTGTCCCTTCCAATCAATACCTCCTCTTGCTTCAATTCCCTCAGCTCTGATTCTGTTTCTTACTAGTGACCAAGGAGTTCTGTTTTTACCCTTGTACTCCAAGGTGGAGGCCTAATCCCAAACCGCCCCAAAGCACTACCCCTTAGCTGTCCACTGTGACTCCCAATTAAGTCACAATAGGAGCTGTGGAAGCCGCCTTGATTGAAGTTAGGTGGGGGTGTAAATAAGAAAGTGATAGCCTTTTTCATCTGATGGAAAATTTTGAATTGAAAAAGCTTCCTGGATGGGAAGCAAAACGTCTTTGGAATGAATATCTCAAGCAAGACTGAGAATCTTCACCAGCATCTGATGGCAAGGGAAAGCATTCATTAATATGGCAACACAGTGATGCCCGATGTGCATTGCCATAAATAAGTGGTGCAGGTTGATGACATGAAATCAAATTTGCCCTTTTCTGACAACAAATGTCAAAACTATTTCAAAGAGGGCCTTCCCTTATGAAATTAATTACATATTTTGTCTTATACCTAATTTGTAATTTTCTGTCAGTGTGACAATGATGCAGCAAACCAGCAGAACTGTTATACCCAACAGTCACTGTTATACCCACTGCTAAATTACAGCGAGCCTGCACTGAGGCAGATTCGCTATTTAAGGGCTGAATGGTCCACTTGCCCTACCCACTTATTAGTTTGGGATGGGCCTTAATGAGGCGAACGCTCCGTGGGAATGCGCAAACAGAGCATTAGTGTTTAGGGGAAGTGTTTAGGGGCCGGTTAGGGATTGATCTGGGGTCTATGTGTTTCTACTAAGGGATTTCCTTGTTTTCCCTCTGGCTCTTTTGTGCTTCTATCAGAATGTTCTCCATCAAAGTGGCACAAGCCAGCAGTGACATCAACACTGAACCCGGCAATATTCCGAGTACTGTTTTGGAAGCAAAGTTTATTCTCCTCTTTCCCACATGAATTCTGAGAAGAGTTTCCTGCTTGCTTTGTTGATTTTTATCAATTTGTTGCACGTTATTTGTGTCTGGTTGACTACTGGATTTTCAGTCTGGTATTAGAATTATTCTTAGAGAAATCTTCTCCAGAGGTTCCAGAGGAGTTCCTAGAACAGAAACAGTTCTTTATCTGCTTGTTGAGCTTTTTGAAGTAACTTGATTTGTTGCTGTTATCCCAGCAGATAATGGAGGAACAGATCACACTCTCCACAACAGACTTATAAAAGATATGTAGCATTTGGCTCACATGTTTTAATCAGATTAATACCATGATAGTTGTTTGTTTTTCACATCAAGTCAAAAGCTGTGGCAAAAAATGGGACAGATATATGCAAAAAGAGTTTATTGCAGAAAACCATCAGAGTCAAATACAGCCAATCCAAGGAATGACTGCACAAGCCTGGCTACCCGCTTCAACCACATTCAATCTGGAGGTTTCCTTTGGCTCTTGGCTCCTCTTTTCTTAGTTTTAGTCATGTTTTATCCATTTTTTTGGAGATATGTTTCAGTAATATTGTTTTATATAATCATCGGTCACTGTATTTGCACTACTTTGTTGAAAATTATCAGAAAAATGCTAATTCTTATTGATTTGAGATCATTTTTATACTTTGCAAATATCAATAAAATCCAGAGGACGTAAACTTGCTTTCAAAACAAAAGGTATTTTTAACGTCAGGTTCCAAAAAGATGAAAAAGAATTTAAAAAAAGCTTCAAAAGATTATTAGTTTTTACCATTTTGATTTATTTCATATTTTATCATGATTTATTTTATGTGGTGAAAAATTTAAGACATAGATATGGGTCACATTAAAGGTTGAAACATTTTTCTGTATTTTTTTAATTGTGTTTAGTTGGCAAGTCAGGTTTTGAAACACCATGTAACAATCACAGCTTATATTCTTGATGAGTTATTGTTTAATTGTTTAAAACTGGTTTCATCTAATGGGAGAAAAGAGATGAAATAGGAAGGAGATTGTAATTTGCAGGAATTGGTTCATTGAGGAACACAATCAGAAAGAGGAGACTTGTCACAAAAAAGTAAAGATAACAAACACTAACAAAAGGACTTAGCTTTATAACTCCCACAAATTAGACAGAGAGGTAAGAAAACAAAATGTTGGACCCTAACAACTCAGAAGCAATAAATGGAAGTTAATTTGTGCTTGTACACAAATGAATTGCGTACCCAAAAGCCATTTAGTTAAGAAAATTATATCAACAATCCCACATGTTTGCTCATTTTGAAAGCTCTTCTAGTTTCTGGAGATATGCAATTTTTGTTATTTCATATGTTGCAAAATGAATAGTTGACCTCTCCAACTCTCTACACTTATTGATCATGTGGTGGACACCAACTGTGTAACAGTTTAGATCTCTAGTCTTAAGCATTGTGAAACTGTGACCCTTCTTTTATGCAAAAGGTTCAATCGGCAAAATTGATCCAAAAGTGGATCTTTTCAAGTTTTTAATAATTTGACTATAAAAAAACATTTCTATATGTAGCTTACACACATTTTCATTGAAATACTTTATTTTATAATATTACATGTTTTCAGCTTCCAGAATTATGACTATGCATTTTCTGAGTATTTCTTCTCTCTTCTCACTCCTTATGCACATAAATAAACCCCATCTTTCTCAAACCTGGGGTTAAACTTCCAATAGCTTATTGTAAAGCTTACCATATTGGCTAACAAAATATGATCAAAGTTTGATTGGTCACTGATTTGTGGATTCCAGCTACTCAAAGACTGCAGTGACACATGCCTGGGGATGGCATTTCATATGTGCAGGATGTTTCTGAAGTATTCTAGATACTGAGAAAGGATAAGCCCACCTAACGTAGATAACGTAGATAATCTAAAACGGAACACAGAATTCATAAGACACATGAAAAATGCATTTTTATCCTGACATTTTTACTTTTCCATGGAAAAAAATAGCTTTGGTAAATTATTAGGACATATGATTTTATTTTATAGGAAATACAACTTGATATTGGTTTTCTGTGGAGTGTTATTGACAAAATAAACAGTTTATGCCAGAATAGAGCATGTTTAGGAACAACAGAGTATGAAAACAAGATGAGAAGTATATAGGAGAAGAGAAGATTATAAATTGCATTTGATGACACATTATTAGTTATTGCTGTTTACGGAGTATAGTTGTTTTACAATTGAGTTGATGGTAGTTTTCTTTAGAATTGCATGATAATAAAGAGGTACAACATGTTAGGTTTTGTTAACAAATAAGTTTGCTGTCTGATGCCGAATGAAATGTGACATCAAAGTGACCAGGGGCCGAGCGGTGGGAGCGAAGGGGTTAAACTTAAAGCATTAATTTTCCTCTGTGATTAGAACAATAATCCATCTGTACTGTTTGCAGAGCTCATCAGATATACTAAACAGAAAAGCACTTAGTCTGCATGTTAAGCTCTGCCAGCTTGAGTGGTGATGACCGATGGATGGCCATCACGGATCTTCAGCTCTCGATTCATCTGGCACCACACACAGCAGTAGCAGCACATTATCTTGCAGAAATCACTACAGCCAGAGCCCTGCATAGAGAAAACAAAAGTTATGTTGCACATTTCAAAACACTGACAGCTGCACATCGTACAGGATGGTTCCTCCTCTCCCTGCACATAAAGTTTGCAGATGACACCATAGTCACTGGTCTATGTCCATGATGATGACAAGTCTGCATAAATGGGAGGTGGATCATCTGGTCCAGTAATACAGTAAGAAACACCAGGAGCCTAATATGCTCCAGCCTGTGGAGAGAATGATGGACTTCCAGAGTAGCTACACTCTACACCTTTGATTCTCTGCCAAAGTTCCCCTGAAGCTGTCACTGTCTATTTATGTATATTTATACTAAATGTCTGATTGCTGTGAGCAGTTAAAACCAAAGTCAAATACCATTTAAATCTTTCTACGTAGACCATGTTTGCTTCCATTTCTTTAAATAAACAGCAAAAACTGACAGCTAGGTCTAAACTATTCTGTATTGTTCTAATTGATATAAACATTTATCACAGTGGGCTGCACAGTGTAACAATGGGTAGCACTGCTGCCTTGCAGCAAGAAGGTTCCGGATTCAATTCCCCGGCCCGGAGTTTGCATGTTCTCCCTGTGCATGCGTGGGTTCTCTCCAGGTACTCCTGGTTCATGCCACAGTCCCACACATGACTAATCGGTTAATTGGCTTCTCTAAATTCTCCTTAGGTGTGAGTGTGTGCATGAATGGTTGTTTGTTTTGTTTGTTCTCTGTGTTGCCTTGCGATATACTGTCCAGGGTGTACCCCGCCTCTCGCCCATTGACAGCTGGAGATAGGCACCAGCACCCCTTGCAACCCCAGCAGGGATAAGCGTGATGGAAACTGGATAGATGGATGGATATATCACAGTGGGATAAGACATTTAGCCATATCAGTTTTACTGTTAAACCTGGTTTGAAGCATCTGTGTGTAGAAATCTGCTGACATAGTGTTTGCATCATTATATCCCCAGTGTGGTTTTTGTCCACATTACCTAATGCTCTGGCCAACTCTAACATCTGGGCTCACATCTTGCCAACATGTGGTCAGTATGTTACACAGACCATAAGGTGACAACACCACAGAAAACATATAAACAGAAGAAAATCGTGCAAGACAAGTGTTGCACTCTGTTGATGTTGGTGTAACCATGTTGGCCTTGTGTGTGGGAAACAAATGTTGCTGGACAGAAATGCTGGATCGGACTAAATAATGGAGCCAAGTGCTTCTATTAGTGTGCTTATATTAAAGATTTTAGATGCAGTTTAAAAAAATCGGATATTTGTTACAATTTCCAATATCAACATCAGATTGGGACATCCTCAATTCAAGAGCCTGTTTTCCATTGATCCTTGTTCCTGTTACACTGTCTGTTTCTCTGTGGTCCAGTTCTGTTTCCACGATCTGTATACTTTTAGTTGCATTAATAAAATCCTCACCATGGTCATCCCAAGTTTCTTTCTGTATTTTGGTCCAGGTCACAATGTAGAAAACATAATACCGAATTTCTAATGTTGCACAGAAACTGAAATGCCTAAAAGAATATTCAATATTCAAAAGATATAATGAACACTGAAAAGACCAATCAGGTTAATCCACATTGACAATTAAGGGAAACACTTGGATCTGAAAAAACTGTTAATGGGGACCAGAGGGAGAGAAAACACAGAACTTTGGCATCATTAAGAAGGTAAAGAAGACAGAGACGTGCTACCTGCATGTTATCATGATTGAAAATCGGGAGAAGTCACTAGACAGGGGAGTAGCATACTATCTGAAAGCACAAGCCAACCACTGTGAAATGACCTACAGAAATGTTGTGGCGCTCCCGAATCTTGGAGCGGAGAATACAAGTCACCACACAGCAGACATCCAGCAGTGGCATTAAGCTGCACCATCCGAATTTACTGACAGTCTGACACTGCATGCAGGGAAAGCACCAAATCCCAAAGCAGCCTGTTGGGGGAGATGGAGAATATTTAATTGCATGATTTCATCGTGAGATTGCAGTCAGTTCATTGCTGTTCTACGGACCACAACCTCTGATTAAACTCCATTCTCACCAAGACACTCTTGCTTGGCTCTCAGCTGCCCAGGGTTTTGAGAATTCTTGCAAATTTTACGGCTGCATGAAGAAGCGATTTTTATTAAGGAGTGTCTGCTCCCAGTCCACATTAATTTGTGTTGACTTTAAATCTAAAGTTGAAGCTTCCTCCAAAATAAGCCTCTCATGAAACATTGTGAAGATTTGCATTGAGGATATTTCTTGGGACATCAGGAAGCAATTTAAACGTAAACTGCCGACTTTGCTTCTACTTGATCATAAACTGTCATCAGTTAAATTATTGCATTATTCACACATATTTTTGATCATAATCATGTATATTACTATGAATTTTGCTTTGAGTATGTCCTTCTTCATTACAGCCTGTTCACGGTCCTTAAACTTGATTGGCGGGCAGACATGTTTTTTTGGTAATTATGGTTTTGTCATTTAATCTATTGACGCTAGAGAGAATATATGGCAGCATGTACCTTTTTTTATATTATGGTAAGTGCTTAACTTTAACAATAATTTGCAGTTGTTTTGCTGTAATCTGGGGTGTATATTTACAAAAAACTACAGACTCTTACAAGAACATAAAAACAATCGTTTTGTTGCTGTATTTGTTTTAAAGCTGTTACACTGTCGCTAGTTTTAAGCAGCCCTTTCATTTCTTCTCAGGAGACCTTGCAACCTTCATAAATCTGAAGGAGGTCAAACCGGTGAAGCATAGACTAACTGAACAGCAGCACTTCTTCAGAAGTCAGACCTGGAGTGACAGCTGTACTTTAAGTACTTCCAGAAAAGTAGAGGCAACATGGAGCTCTTTTCCCAACCTTTCAACAATATGTGGAGTGCCTGATCGCACTCAGATGGAGCCAATTGATTTTCAACGTGATGCTGAGCTAAAGAATAAATTCATGAATGAGAGACAACAAAGTATCTAAGACTAAACCTTGTGGAACCCCATGAGATAGGGAGTAGAGGGATTAAGTTTTAGTAATCTGCTATTCCAAAACACATGGCTGCAGAAAAAATAAATAAATAAACCAGTTCAATGTCTTCACTTGGTGCTGTATACAAGATGATAAAACATTGTGGTCCACTTTATCAAGACAGCTTTGGCTACAATGTACCTCTACACAGTGAATGTGTGGGTGAATGACTAAATACAGTTAAAGAGTTTTAGAGGCCCTAAACTGGAAAAAACATGCAAGTACAGGCCATTTACCATGCTGCCAAGACTTATTTGCTGTGATAATATCACTAAAACGTCAAACGAAAGCAGATTATGAGGAGCGTCTTGGAACCAGATGACTGTCTCTAAGATATTGCAAATAAAAGTCTGCTGAGAGATACAGGCCTAACCTTCTCCAAAGGTTTTGTTTTAGTTCAGTGATGGCTGCATACGGCCTACTTAGCGATTAACCACACAATACCTGAGACAAATATGGGTTTTACAGTAAAAAAGCCTAGAGTTTTTCAAATAGTTGGGCATTTATGTCTTTGCTGCTTTTTGTTATATAAAAAAAACAGCAAAAATAAGGACAATTTAGTTTTGACTTCACTGATGCATCAAGCTAAAAACCTATAATACAGCAGGTTATTAAATAGCGCATTGTTGAAAATGTTCTATGTTATTGTTATAAGATGTTGTCAACTGTTAAAAAATTTAAAATGAGAAATAGTTTACAGAAAAGAAAACAATAAGTTACATTTTTGCCCCAATTTGACGGAATGGAGATTCTACTAAAATGGATGTGTGATGTAAACGTGATCTGTCAGCTGTGGGTTAACACTGTAGTGAATTGTAGATGCCTATTTATGACTTATTTGTTATAATTTGTGTTCTGTATTATTATTTATTCAGAAATGTATTTCTTGTATCATAATAACATATTTAGCCAACGGTATTTTTCTTACCTTCCTTAGAGGAAACATTTATAAACTCCAGCTATAAGAGCAGAACAAAGAGTTTAAAATTCTGCTAAAAAATCAGTTTGACTGCTAAGTTTTCTTACGTTTATGTCAAAATCATAGCATCAATAGCTACAGTATAACTGTTGTAGTAATCTTTTTTACATATTTAGAAACAAAAAAAAATTATTGCTATTTTTTTCCACTTCAAACAAAAGCTAAATTTCCATTAAAAAACATGCTGACATGGTGGTTTTTAATTGCAATGTTATCCAGACTCTTATAAAGACTGGGAAAACCCTGGCCTGGATTAGTCTTCAACCTGTTTTAGATTGGGACTACCTAGATTAATGAAGAGGATGTGCGAGGAGACCCTTCTTTTGATGACATTTAGATATTTTTAGACAAAATCTCTACAAATCAATACTCAAGTTAAAGCTTGGGACAAGTAATGCTACACACTTGGACCCTAATATATCATGCTTCATGTCAGATGCAGGGAATGTAGTCCCTTTGTTCGCGTTAAGGATCGTTTAAGGGACACTAAGGTAAAACACATTTATTTGGAAAAACAAACAAAAAATTATTTGGTATAAGGATCACTTTAAATGTCGGCAGTTTCATAATTGTGCCTCTTAGAGAAGTGTCCAATGAATTAATTTAAAATCTTTAATTAAAACATATAATAAAGTTTTCTTATCTGTAATCACATTGTTTAAATATTTTTGTAATTTTGTGTACCATCTCATCTCATAACCCAAGTATTATAAACCTAAATTGCCACAGTTGATTTTTCTGTAAATATAATATGGTAAATTAACAGAAAAAGGACCGGGGGAAACTTTTTTTGTTTTGCCTTTTGCGAAAGATCACCAGATGTGTGACATCACAAGTTCCTTAGAAGATGCCGTAATATCTGATAGTGGTGCTGTGGATCTCCCCGTTTCCTTCAGACATGTTCATCTTTTGAGATCTTTGAGTGTAGACAGCAAGATGACATTTTCAAAATGTTTATCTTATTCTACAGGTCTTGTTTAGAAAAACACAAAATAAGCATTTTTTTTTGTTGGTCATGGATGAATAAGAGTCTTTTATTTTCCACATTATTAGATGTGGGATTGTTTAAGTAGGTCTTTTACCATACATAAGAAAATCCTTATAATTTGACAGTAAATTCATGTTTTACTTCAATCGCAAGATCTTTGGCTAAAAAAAAACTACAGTACTTCTTAATGCTGGTTTCATCCGCTAAGTAACTTAGCTGAAATTAATGATTGGCCTTTGCTTTTTACAAATTAAGACTATCCTCCTGCAATTCAAACCTTCAAACATGTTTTCCAGGAGTGCAGATCAACATGGAGGCTACGATCTATAGTGTGTTTATTCTTTGGGTAGAGGTACTTGCTGGTTTGTGGTGTTTCCTTGATGGGTTTTGGAGATCCCTGTCTTTCCTCAGGGCCTCATTATTTAATATGTCTTCAGCAACAAGGGATGTGGATTTTTTCCTACTATTGGCTAGCCTTGTCTTTTGGCGAGTCAGACAATTCAAACAGCTATTGCTTTAGGTTTAAATGCTCTGATTTCCAATCGAATCATTTAAATCTCCATCTAAGACTAATTTGGATTGGATTTATTTATTTGGTAGGGAAGTTTACTTTTATTAACAATATGTAAATGCACCTGCATTAGGCAAAAGGCTATTTTTCATCTCTTGTTGCTGGACAAAGGATGATCTGCTTATCTTATACCAAAACAAGTTTTTAAATTAAGGTTAAAATAACTTAAATGAACAAATTTGTACAGAAAAAAAGCAAACACAGTTAAAAAGAAAAACATAACAAAATGACATGGACATTTTATAAAAGTTATAAATTACAGATTAATAAATAAAATAATTAATTGCTCATATTGATGGCAAATGAAACACAGATGGTCCCATGATGGGATTGTGAAGGTACATTCTACACAGTTTGTTGATGGATGTGATGTTTTACACAGACCAAAGTTTTTTAATTGATTATAAGTACCGTAGCAGATGTTCTGATTGTCTCAGGAATAGAAATCCAATGCTGTGAAGCTATAACCAAAAATGCTCTATGACCAAAATTACATTTTATAAAAGATCAATAAAATCTTCCCAGATTATTTTAGTAAACAAGATGTGTTATTCCTTATTTTTACAAATTTCACAAAGTGAGATTACAGGCCCCTAATAATTTTATGCAGATGATAGAGAATTGAGAATCTAATAACATTCTCCCAAATCAACTATCCATGTTTCTCTGACATATTACAATGATTATATCTTACTGTGTTTTGGTCCATTAAGATAGGTAAAAAGATCAAATTGGTGCTAATTCAAATAAGCACCAATTTTGTCGGCAGGTCAGAGTTGAACTTTCTGCTTGCAAATGGTTTCTGTTGTTACTTCGGCTTACTTACAGTTGCTCTTGTCGCTGCAGCACTCAAATAGGCCGGTGCTCCAGTCTCCAGGAGCTTGATTGGAAGACATTGCTGAAGGTGAGTGATAATCCATGCCTGCAGGATAGAGTCACGAGAATTCATTAGCAGAAGAAATTCATGAATATGCCTCTGTCACCCTAAATATTATATTTATACACCTTAAATATTATATTTATACACCCTAAATATTATATTTTAAAAATTATTCCATGTTCTTCTCCTCCATTGTTGATGCAGCCGTTCATAGCTGTGGCTGTAAGGTCTCTGGTGCCTGTCGTGGTGGCAATGCCCAAACCTGGTGGTGGTGCCCGGAAGTAAGGGACGCCATCAAGCTGAAGTAGGAGGCCTACCTGGCCTTGTTAGCAAGAATCACACTGGAGTCAGCTGACAGGAACCGGCAGGCAGGTGTGCTGCAGGTTGTGCGGTTGCAAAGGCAAAAATTTGGGTCTTGGAGGAGTTCGGAAAAGCCATAGAGGAGGAATATCGGTTGGCCTTGAAAGTGTTTTTCCAAACCATCCAGCGCCTTGGGAGAGGGAAGTAGTGCTTCACCAACACTGTTAAAAGTGCGGGTGGGGAGCTGCTGACCTCGACTAGGGATGTTGTGCGGCGGTGGAAGGAGTACTTCGAGGATCTCCTCAATCTCATTCTTATGTCTTCTGAGGAGAAGGCAGAGGCTGGGGACTTAGAGGAAGACTTGTCCATCAAGCGGAAGTCACCGAGGTAGTAAGAAAGCTTCTCGGTGGCAAGGCTCCATCGGCGGATGAGATTTGTCCCGAGTAGCCCAAGTCTCTGGATGTTGTAAGATTGTCTTGGCTGACACGTCTCTGCATTATTGCTTGAGGGTTGGGGACAGTACCCTTGGATTGGCAGACCAGGGTGGTTGTCGCTCTCTTTAAAAATGAAGACCAGAGGGTGTTCTCCAATTAGGGATGGGATCACACTCCTAAGCCTCCCCGGTAAATTAAACTCCAGGGTGCTTGAGAGGAGGATCCGGCTGATAGTCAAACCTAGGATCCAGCTCGATACCCTTCGGTGCTTAAGGGTTCGTGGGATTTTGCCAAACCAGTCCACATGTGTTTTGTGGATCTGGTGAAGAAGTTCAACCGTGTCCCTCATGGTGCCCTGTGGGGGATGCTCAGGGAGTACAGGGTCCGCGGCCCTCTGTTAACAGCTGTCCACTCTCTGTATGACAGCAGCAGGTGCTTGGTTCGCATTACCTTAAGCAAGACTCTGCCAGGGTTAACCTTTGTCACCGGTTCTATTCATTACATAAATTGACAGAATTTCTTGCCGCAGCCAGGGACCAGAGGGTGTCTGGTTTGGGGACCTCAGAATATCCTCTCTGCTGTTTGCAGATGATGTTGTCCTGCTGGCCTCATCAAAGCAGTACCTTCAGTGTGCACTGGGGAGGTTTGCAGTCAAGTGTGAAGCGGCCGGGATCAACACCTACAAATCCGAGGCCATGGTTCTCCACCGGAGAACGGTGAACTCTCTTCTTCAGGTCGGTGGAGAGTCCTTGTCTCAAGTGGAGGAGTTCAAGTATTTTTTTGTATTTTGGGCAAAGCTCTTGATTTACCTATCAGTCTACTTTCCCATCCTCATCAATGTTCATGAGATCTGAGTAATGACTGAAAGGACAAGATCGTGAATACAAGTGGCCGAAATGAGTTTCCATCGCAGGATGGAGGGGCGCACCTTTCAAGATCAGGTGAGGAGCTCAGTTACCTGGGAGGAGCTCTGAGTAGTCGTTGCTCCCCTACTTCGAAAGGAGCCAGCTAAGGTGGCTTGGGAATCTATTCTGGATGCTTCCTGGTCCCCTTGATCAGGAGATGTTCCAGGCATGTTCCAGGTGTGTGTGGATCAGGAAGTCTAGGCATCCCTGCTTAGACTGCTACCTCCACAACCCCGCCCCGGATAAAGCAGAAAAAAATGGATTGATGGATGTATTCTAGTATGATGCAGGTCAGTTTTACCAGGGAATCTCACTATCTAGCAGAACTCATATCCCAGAAAGCTATATGTCACGGAGTGCTGATGAAGGTTCTTAGTCATCCAGGTCATAGTCATTCCGTAAAAATAAAAAAATAAAAAATATCCACTGGACTTGGTTTTCAAGATTTGAAGACGTTTCGCCACCTCTCCCCAGAATTGAGAAAGCTTCCTGAAGAGGTGGCGAAACGTCTTCAAATCTTGAAAACCAAGTCCAGTGGATATTTTTTTTTTTTTTGAATTTTTACGGAAAAAATATATGTCACGGAGTGTGCTGAAAGCACACACAAAAACAAAAGAGTAGGGTGTAATCTAATCATGAAGCCAGAGCTACATTGGAATGGCTTGAAAATGATCATTTACAGATTATCTCTATCCATTGCTTTCTGCACAGTGGACAACTATTTGAAGAGCTCAGGATTTAACTAGTTTGAGCAAATCTCTTCTTTTGCATGGAGAAGTCCAAGTGTAGCTTTACAGAGTTGAACCTTCAAGGAAATGTCCCTCATATCGGGTCAGCAAAATGGTTGTAAGGAGAACCTTGTTAAAAGCTGGCATATGTGGGGTGTGGAGCTGGTGCAGCCGAAAGGGAAAAACGCAAAAATTCAAAAGAAAAAAAAAGAAAAAGTTGACATATATTTTGAAAAAGTCAAAAGCAAGAAATGGCAGAATAACTAAAGATTGAACAGTCACTCTTTGCGCCTCCCTCATACAAAGTGATGTGAGGGTTCCTCAGCCTGATGCAGAGTCAGTGGAGTAAGGAAAGGAACCAGCTTTCTCCTGAGTCACAGATAGGGATTCTGCTTATGAAATATCAAATAAACCTATAGCAAAGATTTTCATACCAAACAACCCTAGATAAGATCTGATCTGCAGCAAAATATGGATTGGGGGACAAGATTTTTCAGACAGTGAAAAAGGAGGAAAATATTACTTGTCTTCTCATGTTTTTCAACAAAGTTTTTTTTTATTTGTCCACAATGATTTGTAAAGGGAGATATTACTATTACAAAATAATATTTTAATAGAGAGAAGTTATTGTGTCATCATTAGAAAGATTGACAATTCTTTCTTTTAAGGTCGTTTTTGTTCTTAGTGAGATATGAAAGCCTATCTGAAGTTTCTTAATTTACTAATCCTTCTAACTTATTAGAAAAAAGCATTCCTAAAACATGCTAAGTATTAAAAGCAATCTTTAAGTAAACAGAGTATTACCTCAAGAGTCCTGTTTTTATTTAAATCCAAATATGGTCCCCCAAAAAATAAAGTATACACTCAACATCAATTACATAAGTATTGATTAAAAGTTTGTCAAATGAAATTACAAAGATGGTCAATGTAAAGTAAAAGTTAACTGCAACTGAGAGGAATTAAAGCCTAGAAACTAAAGCAGTAGAAAGACCCTGTGGTTGGCTGTCGGTCATGAGCTCCAAACCAGCCACTTCTTCAGAAATATGTGCTGGTGCAAAACAATAACAGATAGATGACTGGCAGTTCTTGGGTAACTTTTTGTACACTATATACATTAACCAATTTGCTAACGAAGCTCAAATGACACAGAAGCTTTAGTTTACAGTATAATAACAATATATATTTGAATAAATCATCATATACGTATATATAAATATATATAGTACCATTTTTGAGATAATGTCATATGATATCATGCTTTTCAAGCATCAAAAATAAAAATGTTTGAGCAAATAAATATTTATTCATTATAAAAGTTTTTGTGCTATGGCCATTTATTTGAAATGTGTAACCTGGAAATATGTTTCAATTATAAATCTTTTTACATAAACAAACAGGAAATTGTATCAGCTTTCTTTTGGTGTAATTGCCATCTTTACATGGCTATTGCATTACAATTTATAATAAAACCTTATGATATTAAATTATATTTCTGAAAAAAGTAGTACACACCGTTGAAGGAAATCTTCAATTTCTTAACAATTTCCCAAATGCAATAACCTTCATTTCTAAGAAAAAGAATAGACTGTCAAGTTTCAGATGAAAGTTATCTTTTTCTGGCCATTTTGAGCGTCTAATTGACCACACAAATGTGATGCTCTAGAAACTCAATCTGCTCAAAGGAAGGTCAGTTTTGTAGCTTCTGTAACGAGCTAAACTGTTTTCAGATGTGTGAACATGATTGCACAAGGATTTTCTAATCATTAATTAGCCTTCTGAGCCAATGAGCAAACACATTGTACCGTTAGAACACTGGAGTGATAGTTGCTGGAAATGGGCCTCTATACACCTATGTAGATATTGCACCAAAAACCAGACATTTGCAGCTTGAATAGTCATTTACCACATTAGCAATGTACAGACTGTATTTCTTTAAGGTTAAGGCTAGTTTAAAGTTATCTTAATTGAAAAGTACAGTGCTTTTACTTCAAAAATAAGGACATTTCAATGTGACCCCAAACTTTTGAACGGTAGTGTATATATATATATAAATATTTATATATATATATATATATATATATATATATATATTCCAGGTAAAAAAATCAGAGGTCTCTGTCCAGAAGAGCGCAGTCCTAGGAACAGCCATAGGCGGATCTACTGGGGTGGCATAGGGTGGCAAATGCCACCCTAAATGACAGCCTTGCCACCCCTTCTGCTACCCCAGTTGGTTGTGAGGGTGGCGAGGCTTATAAATTATGGATAATTTGAGAATTACGACCGCTAATTTCCAATGTCGGACTGCAGTGAATGCAGCACGAAATGATGTGAGAGCGACTGAGACTGATTAGTTATGAAAACCGAATGGGGCAAAGCGAGGGAGCCAGGGGTCATGAGGAGAGGAGACACAGGATGAAACAGGT